CCCCAAAACCCCAAAACCCCAAAACCCCAAAACCCCAAATTTTAACAAAATAATTGAATCTTTGTATATCTATTCAGATATCAACTTTCTCTCTTCAGCTGATATATCTTTATTAAGCTTCTTGAGCATCTTCTGGGTCTTGGCGTTCATTTGACTAAGCTCAGTCATTTCTTTGATAATCATACTGTTGAAATCAATGTTGAATTCGAATTTAGTAGCAGCTTCCCTCTTTTTCTTCTCAACATAGTTTGGATAATATTTATTCAAAGGAACATCTGAAGATAATAGTTCTTCCTCTGAAGAGATCTTACGGTCTTGGAGAATCTTATCAAGATGGAAATCCAATAACTCGATAACACTTGGATTAACATTCATGAGATCATCGACCTTAGATGCTTTCTTATTAAATGGATCAAAGAAACCAAGGGCGTTATAGTGTTATAATCCATGTGTTTTAAATAATTCCATCTGTTCTTCAATATTGACTAGAAGAAACACCACATCTTTGTTATATTTCTCAAATAAAACTCCTACTGCATAAAGGAAGGATTCAGAAAATAACATAGCTGCATGAGGATCAATGAATGATATTTGACAAAATACTACTGTGTACTCCCATCCAATTATATCATCAATAGTCTTCATTCTTGGTTCTAAAGCATTTCCTATTAAACTTACTAATAACATAATCGCTCCCTTTCCTGATCATTTTTCTTTTGTACTCTGCTGAATCCACATGCGGTTTTTCAAATTTAACCTACAAAAACTAAAAATTTCTCATACTTCAACTTCTTTACTCTCTTCTAAACTCCTGACCCCTTCCTCATCTCTTCCACCTTTAGCCCTTAAACTTACCCTAAAATACCTTTCTGGGTCACTTTCCCTTCCTTAATCCCTAAAATCCCTATCACACCGTATAAAAACCCTCCTAAACTCACCTTCTTCCTTATAATAATCCTCTTCTACTTCCTTCTCCACCTACAATAACCCATTTTCTTACCTGTAGGCGTATCTTTTCTAAGTCCTGATGAACTCTATTATATCATTTTGGGAATATTACTCTTGTTCTGCGTCGAGTTCTTCGGGTTGTTTCTGTTCGGGGGTTTTGAGCTTGGCTTTGGAGTTTGGGATGGAAGAGGGGTGGGTTTGGGTAGTGGAGGGATCTTCTGGTTCGAGGATAACTTCTATTTCAGCCTCGTGGTCGCTATAGAGTAGAAATTGGGATTACTGCTGAGCTGTGCAGAAGGGGAAAGTGAAGAGGAGAAGTGTGAGGATGAGCAAGAGGAGTGGATTTTGCATCTTTTGTAGTATCGTCTTCAATTTAATAATATTCCCAAATGCTGTGCTAAACGGGGTTTTGGGGTTTTGGGGTTTTGGGGTTTTGGGGTTTTGGGG